AGGGCAGTGTCACTGGCCCTCATATGTGGGATCCGAACCGGGGCCCTCTGGCATCCCAAGCGAGTTCTTAACCATCGCGCCACTCGGCCGGCCCTATTTCATTGATTTTTGCTCTTTTGTTATTTCCCTCCTGCATACTTGGATTTAGTTTGTTCTTTTTCTGGCTTCTTATGGTGGAAGCTTAGATAATTGAATATAAGCATTTAACGCTATAATTTTTTCTCTAAGCATTATTCTAGCTACATATCATACATTTAGATAGATTGTATTTTCATTTTCACTCAATACTTTCTAATTTCTCTTGTAATATTTTTTTCAGCAGATGGGTTATTTAGAACTTTGTTGTTTAACTTCAAGTATTTGGAGGTTTCCTACATATATTAATATTGATATCTAGTTTAATTCCAGTGTTGTCAGATAATGTACTCTGTACGAATTCACTCTTTTAACATTTACTGAGCCTTGTTTTATTGCCCAGCACGTGTATTGTCTTAATGAAAATGTTCCAGGTGTACTAAAAAGAATGTGTATTCTGAAGCAACAGTATTGGCCGGCGAGCCCCTCGGCCTACAGCCTGCCGTGGGGTCCGGCCTACAGGGCAGGAAGGCCGATTTTGGTCAGAAAATGTCTGCCAACATGACTGGTTTCAGGGCTCCTGAGTCCCTAGCTTTGCTCAGATGCTGAAAAAGAACCTGTCAGTTCAGCCATCGGCCCACACAGTAACTACACCCACCACACATTCCTCGGAAAGTTACAGCCTGTCGAATATGGCATCGAAGGTTATACAAGTGACAGGTAATTTTCCAGAACCATAATAAAATACAAACGTGGAGAGAGAAATACTGTGTCAGCCTTGCACCAGTTTGCACAAGAGCAGTGGGTTCAGCTTTACCTTAAGGAAACAGGTAATGTTATTGGGACCATATTTTGCTTTTTGTGCTGTAGTGATAGTATGCAATACAAGACTGGACTGGTATAAAATAAAAAGGAGTCTAGATCCAGTGCAGCAAAATTAGCTCTTGATAAGCTTCTACAATTGGGTGAACCTGAACCTACGAAATTTAGAAACATCGGACCCTCTTCCTGTCCCTTCAGAACCTATTGCTTCCCCAGAACCAGCATATGTTTCAAAAGTATGTTATGAAAGGCGATACATGCAGTATGCAAAGATTTTGCAGATTGTTAAAGAAACATTTCATCAACTAATTTCTACTCATTAAGAATATCTGAAGGGTAGCAGTTCATTGGCTGCTTTTATAGTTAAAGGAGCTGGATGGCAGGAGGTTGTAATTATAGGCACAGGTGAATACAATTACATATAACAGCAAGTGCATTAACGCAAATGGACGGCCGCTCACAGTGGCTCTTGGCAGCTCACACCAGCTGCCGGGCCGCTCACACCGGCTGCCGGCCACACAGGTAGCTTATGGCAGCCCACTGCAGCAGGGGCTGCAGCCTACGCTGTTGCTGGCGACTCATGGCAGCCCAGCTCCAGGTCGAGCTGTTGTTCACCATCTTAGCTGTAGAGGGCGCAGCGTCACTGCCCCTCATGTGGGATCTGAACCGGGCCCTGCTGCTCAGAGCTGGCGTCCCAAGCCAGCTCTTAACCAACGCTCCACTCAGCTGGCCCAAGTCTATGTTCTTTCTGATTATTTTGTCTATTTGCCCTATCGATTATTGAGAGACAGATGTCGAAACTATTAATGATAATGGTGGATTTGTATATTTCTCCTTTTAATTCTGTCAGGTTTTGCCTCATGTATTTTGGAAATTTTTTTTTTTTTAAGATTTTATTGGGGAGTTCAAGGAGGGGAACAGTATTGGGGAATTGGGAAAGGGGAACAGCCAAGTTGTCCTTCAGTCTTAGTTGTGGAGGGTGCCACTAGCTCAGCTCCAAGTCTAGTTGCCGCCCGTCGGCAGCTCAGGGCAGCTCAGCTCAAGGTGCCATGCTCAATGTTAGTTGCGGGAGGGGGGGTGGCGCAGCCCACTATCCCATGTGGGATTTGACCTGGCAACCTTGTTGTTAGGAGCACATACTCTCACCAGCTGAGCCATCCTGCCGCCTGTTGGCAGCTCAGCATCAGCTCAGCTCGGGCGTAGCTCACTGGCCTGTGTGGGAATCAAACCGGCGACCCTG